TTTTTTTTAAATTATTTTAGTCTCCTTTTCTTTCCCCCCCCCCCCCCCTGCCCCCCCGCCCCAAAAGAACAAAACATGAGAGTTGTAACCTAAAGCTATAGATCACATCACATTATTAGCTTATTATAATATTAGGACCATCATGGATTGAGTTTAGCATTAAAAGCTCTAGATGTAGACTGTTTATCTTTCCTAGTTTCATTTGGTAGAAAAAAAAGCACATTTATTTTTCTCTTAGTTTCTAAATGAAGCTAAAAGAAAAAGCTTTCTTTTCATTGCGAAACACGTTTTGAAGGACCCTAAAACAAGGGCTAGTTCGGGACACCATTTGTTCAAAAAGTAGCATCTTGGGATTCCCAAGTTTCCATAACAAAAATTCCACAATAGTCACCAAAATATTTAAAAGTAAAGAAGAAATAAACTTTTTTTTTTTATTGTCCTTCTACCAGGACATTTGTATGGAAGTGTGAGCTTTGGACAGATGAAATTAATATTTAGTCTTGTGACAACACTGAAGGTTGTGAAATAGAGAATAAATTGAAACAAAAACACCTTTTATGCACTGGTAAGTAAGGTGGATGTGCTTTGGGCCTGCATTCAAGTTAATTTTTCAAATGAATATCTATATAACTAGCTATCTATCTAACTAGCTAGTAACTAGCCAGCTATCTAACCAACTAGCTGTCTAACTAGCTAGTTAGCTAGATACCTATCTATCTATTTGCTGTTTTTCACATTAATGTTGTTCACCCACTGATAAGAAATACCTAAGCTAAAAGATGCCCATCGAAAGAAAACATACATTGTACTCCCCTTTTTTTTAACTCGTGCCCAAATGATGTCATTTGTTTACGTTCTGCCAAGCGCGTGTGAGATATGAATGCATGGGAGTGCTTCACCGTTAGTAAGCGAGCCGCCGCAGCAGACTGCCAATCAATAGCCAGCCAGTGAATCGATAGGAGTGGCCTCTTTCTTCCATCTCGTTCTCTCATTTGATTCCGCACGTGCAGAAAACGTGGCTGCCATGGAAACGCTGTATCCAAGAGAGAGAGAGAGACGGGTTGCAATCCACTGGGGAGCAGCATGGCACTCGTGTGCATACGTGTGTATACACTTGTGTGTGTGTGCGCGTGTGTGTGTGTACGCGCGCGCGCGTGCGTGCGTGTGTGTGTGTGTGTGTGTGTGGTAAAGGGACACAGACTGATCCATCAGGGCGGGGTGGATGAGTGGGAGGGGGTGGTAGACATTTCTGCAAGGCATGACTGGAATAAAGGAGGAGGAGGTGTGCGTCCGTGTGTGTGTGTGTTCTGAAGGGAAGGGAGGCAGAAGAGGGTAAAGAGGGGAGGATGTTTGCCCGTCCTGGTGGATTGTGCAGGAGACTGCTCCCAAATCCAATTAATTCCTGCTGGATGCGTTCATTTGTCTCGTGCATCTGACGAGGAAGACACAGAGAGGGACCCCTAAGGTACAACAGTATTTAGTGTGTATCAATTTACGCCCTATTCCACAGGAGACGCTGGTAATTATTTCCATCTCTCACTCGTTCGCTCTCTGTCAGGAGGCCGGGGTCGTCTTCTTTCCAACTTTCCCTCTGACATCCCGGGCCTGGTAATGAGAAAGAGACGAGGCGCGGGCACCGACGACGACACGTCGGCCCCCGCCGCATGTCTGCCATAAGCCTCGCATCAGGCTTGAAGGAGCATGTGAGGCGTCCCTGTTTTCTAAAGTCCTACGAGTCGGTGGAAATAAAGGGACGCGGACGCCACGCTGCCACTCTGACCCACATAACAACACGCGCGTCAGCGTTCGGTGCCCTTAACCTTCATGCCTGATTACTGCAGTTTGTTTATGTCCTGGCTGAACCTGAGTGAGTCTGACAAGATCGAGTCAAGGTGTCTGCTTGGAATAGAGGCCAAAAAGGAAAACAGCTCCCACACAACACGTGTGCGTGCCTGTGTGTGTGCTCATTCCAGAGGAAAATAACAGGTTTACTATAAATTAAGTAATTAAAAAGAAGAGTTGATTTGAAGTCAATTCAGTTTTTAACGACACTGTGCTTCAAGATTCTAATCACACCTTGTGGCTATACACTCACTGGAAACATTATTAAATACAAGGTGCAAAGTAAAGTGTTGGACCCTTTATGTTGTAGCATAGATTCAGATCCAGAAACATTCCTTTTATTGTCTATGAGAGTGTTTGCACCTGATAGCCTATGGAGCGCAACTTCCTCCATACATGATATTCTCAGCTGGTGCGGTTTGAAAAACCTGTTCCCCTCCTCTCCTGTAGCGGCGCTGCAACAAGAACCACAGAAGGAAGCTACAGGAAAACGTCCGAAGAAGACACCAAGCGCAACTTCCGTTTTTATGAAATGTAAACAAACATGGAGTAGTGCCAGATTTTAATAGTTGTAGGATTTCACTTTTGTCTTTGGCAAAAGCCCTCGAGCCATTTCTTCCGCTAGCATTAGATTCATATGTTTGTTTTGGTTGTGTTTACCCAGAATTCACTGTGCTATAGTTGGCTTCCTGCTTTTGGAGCGGTCTTCAGTCTGCCTGAGGCTTACAATATGTATTTGAACCGTGCCAAAGTTCACTTCAACCGAACCCAGACGCAGACCAGACTTCGCTCTTTTGTTCATTTGCATATTCACACACCTATCCAAACGAACCGGACATTCTACGCAAGAGGACTAAACATGGCTGGTGTGAATTCGCCCTACGTTTGGTGAGTTTGTGTAATTTCTAGCCTGCACTCCCTGTTCTTAGCTGACAGGAGTGGTCCTTGGTGTGATCTTCTGCTGAGATCACTGTCTTTTTATTATTTAGAATAAGTCTGCCTATTTTCCTCTGAGATCCTAAAGGCACTTCTATCCCCAAAACCACTTCCCTTTGGGTATCTTTCTTTTTTTATGACATTCTTTGTAAAAGACAGATGGTTAAGTATGAAAATCACAGCACAGGCCTATTCGGTAAATTATAATATTATTGAAAGGTTCACTTATTTCAGTAGCTCTATTCACTTAGAGAAACACTTTATATAGAATAATTGCACACAGACTGGTGTTTTCAAGCCTTCATTTCTGTTAATTATGATGATTTTCTGCTTGCAGCTAATGAAAACATGACATTTGAAATTAATTTACATCATACCAATAAAAACATTTTTAATAGAGAAATGTGGGCTTAATGAGAAGTATGTTTAATACCTGCTTAACGGCTGTTATTGTGAAAAAACACTTTTAACCTGACAAGCATCCTCATCAAAATGCAGTTTCTAATTTATTGAATACCACTCCAGATAAAGGGTTTCTGAGAAATTCATATCAGAGTCTGTTGCTGGGGCAACTATTAATCATCTGAGCTGGTGTTTAACTGGCCATAAAATATGTGGAATGTCATATTTGAATACTTTCACGAGCCACTGTATGGCAGTACATCGCCTCTAAACGGCCAAAGGTAACATGGAATGGTTTGGATCAAAGCATATGTATCTGTTCGAATAGCCCAGTCAAAGTCCAGACCTAAATTCAGTTGAGAATCTGTGCAAGACTGGAAAGCTTATGGTCACATACACTCTCCAGTTATTATGAATAGAAGCAAAATGGGCAAAAATTTGTTCATTAAAGATTCAGAATCTTTTATAAATCACGAAGACTATGAAAATACAGCTTAATATGGCAACTTCTTTTTGTTGTTCTATCATGTGAATTTCCCCCAAAACCATATTAAGGGTTAAATATAAGAAACCATTTTAAGGGGAAATAATCATTATGGCAGGAGCTGTTCAAACATAAACCACTGTAAGACACTTGCTCTGCTATTTTTCAGTATTTAGATTAAGTCATAAATAAACTGGTTACATTTGCAAACAATCTTTTTCCAATATGTTTCTCCACCCCATATGGAGCGCACAGCAGGACATTAAAGTCTCCATAATATTGCAGTAAAGTAAAACAAACATGCAGCAAACTGAGAGGAGATCAGCGCTCACTGCTGAGCCGATTTACTGAGTCACTGTAGAAATATTACAGGAATAATATAGAGTTTTATACTGAAAAACCTATAAAATTCATATGAACGAGCCTTTGAACATCACAGGTGCATTTAATGTCCCAAAGGACTGCTACAGAAGCACTTGTTTTCAGAAATATGCCGCCAGCGAGGTGGAAGACAGAACACAAAATCATCGAAGGATGTGAGTTTTAGGAAATATCCACACTTTTGCTTTACTGGTAGGAACGTATTGATCCCACTTCCTGTTGCAGGTGAACGAAACGAAGTGGACGCAGTTTTGTTCAAGTGAGCGTCAGAGTCGGCAAACAACCAAGCTGAAGGCGTGAGGCTGAACTGTCATCCTGTCCTCTGCCAGCTCTCAATGAGCAGCAGAGGAGGTGGGATGTAAAGTTAACGTGGGATCACAAACAAATGAGAAGCACTGTTTCTTTTCCCGTGTAAAACTCAGATTACACAACTTTCATCTGGGCTCTGTTTTCCACTTTTTCAACGAAAGAAGCTCTGACATCCAAAAACTTTGATTTGCTGTGACTTCCAACTCAGTAAAGAGAGATATTGTCTCGGAGGAGAGGTTTCTGGTTTTCATTGCCGAGTTACATAAATAAAATGCTGTTAGGTTGGCTTATTGGATGTTACGGTGCTTGTTGTTTCACTGCAGCCAAAAAAATGATGCCAGCTCGAAAGTTTGGTCTGACACAGTGCACTTTCCCAACTGTACATACCCATCGTACTTTTTCTCATCTTGCCATGTTACAACCACAAAAAGCAGTGTATTTTTTTTGGTATTTTATGTGATAGACCCACACAAAATATTAATTAATTGCAAAAGGGAAGAAAATAAAACTCTTTCGAAAATGTTCACAAATAGAAATAAAGAACTGTAGCACTGTCCATCATCAACTTTAATCAAATTTCTTGAATTTGCTACATAAATTTTAAAAAATCCCGCCCGACATTTAATGGTGTCTCATTTTGTCGCTCATTGAACTCTTGCAGTCGATGTTCGCCAAACGTTCGTGGAAACGTTCAGAGGACGTTGTCGGAATGCTCAATGCTACCTGGGTGGGTTTAAGCAAAGATTAAATCACATGCTGGTGGACTGGGTTTTATTTATGGTTGTTAGATTAAATGTCAGCTCGGTGCAAAGGCATATTACATATTTCATTTTGTGAATAAATAAAGCCACGTATTATTTTTCCTTCCGCCTCACAACTATGCGTAAAATACGACAATGTTTGTTGGAATGTGGGGAACGGTGTTGCAAGATTCTGGTTTGAGGCCAGCTTGAGATCTGGACAATGTCATCCTGTTTTGTGTGTCTATGTGTGTATATGTGTGGTGCCTTTAAAGCACGTTCGGTAATGACGGTTTGTTAGGTTTACCCCCCAAATGTCCTATGGGCAGAGACAGATTATGGCAGAGTCATGTAAAGTGGGCAGTCAGCGCTGGGTTAAATGATGTCTGGCGGTACGGGGGGTAGACTGTTGGACATCTCTGCCCTGAGGGGGTCCCTGGCCGAATAAACAGGGTACTGCCCCCATTAAACTCCAATCAGCAGATAAACTGTTGACTGACACAAATCGACTGATCATAACATGTAAGGCAGCTGCAAGCACAGCACCGTAGGTCTTTAATAGGGGGGAGAGAGGTTTGGGGAGGCCGCCTTTCATGACACACATTCCAAACACCAGCCTCAGCCATATACATCTCCAAGTCTGCCAATAACACAGCAACTTCAAATAAATCCCCATGTCGACGCTGTCTGCATGTGAAGGCTTAGTGATCAATGGGAGGGTTGATTTAGTAACCGTGCAGAAGTTAGTGGTTTGGGGAGCCAAAGTGAAGGTTTGTTTAACTTTTTCAGAAATCTAGACACTGAGCAGACACAAAAACAAAAGCAGTCCAGTGACATTCACCTAACATCTGGCATCTGCCTTCGATCAGATCCAATGGCAAATAAATCAGGATCATTAATCAGCTTCAGCCTGAATGCTGGAAACATCACATCTGCCTCTGTTTTCAACATGAAGCTTCTCTTCACAAATGGTTTCTTTTTTTTATTCTGAGGCAACGAAGGCCTGATGCCTCTACAGAAAACATTTACAATGGCGGTCAGAAGTTTATATAGCCCAATCATTGCCATGAATGCCATTCTAATTTTGAACTTTTCTTTTTCCAGGGTGGAGTGATGAAACAACATGCAGAAAGTTTGAATTTAAAGCAGAATCTTCTAATCCACACAGGTTGAGAATTAGTCATACAGGCTAAGTTACCTGTCTACATTACCCACTTACATCTGGGTACACCTGCACGTTTAAGAGAAACCGCACAATTTCTATAGAAATCAACAAGGTTCTGACATAATTCACCGCAACCAATTCACCTCTCTTCTTTGCAAGAAGAGAGGTGAATTGGTTGCTCATATGTCCATAGTGTATAAACATAAGGTCACTGAGGTCGAAACAATTGAAAAAGTTGTCCAAACAGAACTGAATTTTACATCAACCTAGAATGAGAAGATCTTAATCGGAAAAAATATAGTACTTTGATGACTATAAGTTGCTCTGGAGTGTAAGTCGCGTCAATCAAAAAATGCGTCATGAAGATGAATAAACCATATATAAATCGCATTTACTTTGACCTTATCAAATCCGGGAGGGCTTAGTTCATGTTAATAATGCTACGCTCACACGTTGTTTCTTTGCTTTTCAACAAACTCATGGAAAATGTTGACTTTAGCTTTGAAGTCATGTCTCTGCTGTGCAGCTCTGCCGGTGAAGTGTGCAGCAGAGTGGAGGGGAGATCCACGCAGTGTAAATGCGGGGTGATAGAGAGGTGGTTGCATTACATGAATCGGTAACACAGAGAAAGTAAGTTGGCAACTACCAGGACGTCAAGACCCAACTGGGACATTCACAAGCGCCAATAGGTTGTTCCAGCATTTTGGAAAGGTAGCACAGACACACTGTGGTAGGAACATTTGCTCGTCACACACAGCTCATCAGAAAACCGGCAGCACATTCTTTGGGTACCCAACTTTGGAGATGTTCCTCCTGCTCTGGCCCTGTAGCTTTCAGCCCATGATTAGCTTTCCTCATGGCTGCAGACGG